AAAAGCTTGTTTATTTTTTTCAGCTGGGTCCTCACTAAGCAAAACAGATCCCAGCCCTATTTTATTTTTCTACCTAAGAAAAAAAATATTTTCATGTACCCCTTGCAATGCACTCGCTGACCACTAGGAGTACGAGTACCCCCTGGTTTGGAACCACTGTTCTACATTACCATTTTCTTCTCATACTGCTAGCTTTTTCAGGTATCATTGCTACAGTTTCTAATCCAACATATTCTACATCCACCTTTATTTTCACCCATTTTTATCTCTGATCCCATTTTTAGGATTCCGTATCTATGTTTTCAAAACCCTCTAATCTCTTAATTTATCCTAATTTACCCCTTTTTGTTCTGAATCCTTTCTTCCCTTCTTATCACTTATTCTTACCCATTCTTGTTCCATGTCCAACCATCCATTATCTTCAGATTTTTCCATAATCTGATTACCAGGGTAACAGAACCAGGAGGGGATCCTAGATTATCAGCTCCTGACAACACATGCAAGTCCTTCTGAAAGTTTATTAGGGGGATTCCTGGATCTTCATCCAAACCTATCATCCTCATCATCATTCAAAACTCCTCATATCTTTTCCATTTTAATTTTTCATCTCATTCATTTTCCTAAATCAGCCTCATCATCACTACAGCTTTAATTCCACTTATCCTGCCTTAATTTCACCCATCCATCCAATTTCTGACACGCTTAATCCCAAGTGCAGTTGTGAGGGGTGCTGGTGCCTATCTCCAGCTGTCTTAAGGGTAAGGTACACCCTGGACGGGTCGCCAGTCCATCGCAGGGCAACACAGAGACAAACAACCATTCATGCACGCTCACACCTAAGGAGAATTTAGAGAAGCCATGAATTTAGCTAGCGAGGAAGCCGGGGTACCTGGAGAGAACCCACGCACGCTCAGCGAGAACATGCAAAGTCCATGCAGAAAGACCCCGGGTCGGGAATCGAACCCAGAACCTTCTTGCTGCAAGGCACTGCACCACTGAGCAGCCCGCCTTCATTTCATAATCTCCTAATTTTTTCTAATTTCCTAATGCTACCTGCAGGACGTTCTTACTTATCATTGCTATCCCAACCCATCGCAGTCATCTAGTTCATGTCCATGCTATCTTATATTTAAGGCACTGAATTACAACTAAATGCTTTGTAAAAAGAACCTGCATTCCGCTTTTGTTTCCAGTTGTCCTGTTCATTTGTTCTATCAAACTTTTCTCCTTGTGTTTCATAGGTAGCTGAGAAGTGTCTAAGTCTGGGAGCCCAGAAAGCTTTTTATATAGCAGCAGACATGGCCAGTGAATCTGACCCTGACAAGGTGGTTGATTTTGCTCTGGAGAAACTGGGAGGTTTGGACTACTTGGTTCTAAACCACATTGGCCCGACTCCCTTTGGCGTGTGGGAGGGAGATGTGGAACATACCAGGTGGTTAATGAAGGTAATGGATCACTTAGACAGTCTCCCTCTGCGTACAATCAGGGGATTGCCCTGATGTTTTTTTATGTGTTTTTGTGTTTTAAAGGTAAATTTCTTCAGCTACACTCAGATGGCCTGGAGAGCTTTGCCCTCTCTTGAGCAAAGTAAAGGATCTTTGGTGGTTGTTTCATCACTATTAGGTAAGTTTCTATCAGTATTGTAATTACACCTAAGCTATGAAACATAGATGGTATTTATATATAAACAACTTTAACACTTATTTTTCCAGTCACTGGCTGGAAAAATAAGGGAAAAATCCTTATCCCCACACCCATAAAGGCTTCTTTAAAAAAATGTCATATTCCAAACTCATATTGCCATTTAAGCTCAAGCTGATCATAAAAGAGCTATTTTTAATATCCATAATTTAATGGCACATTTGTCTTTGGTTTGCAGCTAAAATGACAAGTCCTTTCACTTTACCATACACCTCAACAAAGTTTGCATTAAATGGATTCTTTGGGTCCCTTAATCATGAACTGGCAATGAAGAAGAGCAATGTTTCCATCTCAATATGCACACTGGGACTCATTGACACTGAATCAGCTATGGAAAAAGTCAGGTTTGTGAAATATGTTA